CCGCTCGACGACCTCGCGTACACGACGGAGGAGCTGCTTTTAGAACACGGCTTCGAGGCCGAGGACCGCGACGACGCGTACGTGAGCCGCTTCCAGAACGAGATGCAGCGCGACGACGGCAGCGGCCAGCGCGTGTTGGGCTTCGAGGCCGAGTCGGAGTCGGAGTCGGACTCGAGCGTCGAGGACCACAGCTCGTTCACGCCCGACGAACGGCTCGCGTACAAGAAGACGAAGGAGCGCGCGAGGGAGAAGCGGCGCATCCAGAAGGCGGAGAAGGAGTTCCTGGAGAAGGAGGCCGAGGAGGCGCGGCGCGCGGCGAACCTCGACGAGGAGTCGTCGGTGAACGAGTCGCTGGGGGGCACGTCGATGACGTCGAACAAGTACGTCGACGACGACGACGACCTGACGCTCGAGTACTGGGACGCGCTCGACGCGTCCTGCGCCCGCTACTGGCCCATGGCGACGCTCGAGCGGGCCGCCGACGACACGCGGGCGCGCGTGTGCCGGGGCCGCGAGCGGCCCGCGGGCGTGCCCTTCCAGGGCCTCTTCCCCCACGTCGACGAGCTCAGCCGGCGGGGCATCCCCGTGCGCACGACCTGGGACGCCCTCTGGCGCGTCGCCACGTGCCTGCGGGTTTTGGTCGACGCGCGGCAGGCGTCGGCCGTCGCCGCGGACGCGGCCACGAAGGCCGCCAAGGCCCAGGTCCGCGCGTCGCTCGAGGAGCACGACGCGCGGAAGGTCGCGCGCTGGCCCGACGACGAGCGCGCGGTCTACGAGGCCGAGCTCGCCGAGGTCACCGCGGCCCTGCGCCACGCGCAGTTCCTCGTGTCCGAGGCCGAGCAGGACCTCGAGGAGACGCAGGACCACATCGCGGGCGAGACGAGCCGCCAGGCCAAGGAGCTCCGGAGCGCCCACGAGCTCCACAACAACGTCGCCAAGTACTCCGACGGCGCCCTCGGCGAGGCCGCGGCGCTCAAGGAGAAGGTCGACGACGCCCAGGCCCACGCGGACGCGAACCGCGACACCCAGGGCAGCAAAAGAGAGCGAAATTCCCAACTTCAAAGGCTCCTATCTCGGCCGTTTTCCACTCGTTTCGGCTGATTTTGGGACGAGCGATCATCTCTTGGAACGGCCTCGAAGCGTCGATGCTTTTTCCGGAATACGCGCGCGCGGAACACTCACGTTGAAGCGAACTTGAATCTCTCTTTTCCTGCCCAGGCGACACCGCGACGCGCGACTGGGTCACGGGCGTCGCGGAGACGGACGCGCACGTGCTCGAGTGGACGAAGCACTACGACACGGCGAAGACCTACGCGGACCTGACGGAGAGCCTGCGCACGAACGCGTCGACGCGCGTCGCCATCTTGAAGGGCGCGCGGACGCTCACGGCGCGTTTGGGCGCGCGGCTCCGCGACCGCCTCGTCGAGGCCTTCACGCACGAGCGCCAGGCCAAGGAGGCCTACGACGCCGTCGTCGACGCCGCGGCGCGGCGCGACGACGCCTTCCTGCGCGAGGACGCCGTCTACGAGCGGCGGACGAACGCGCTCAAGGACCAGCACCAGCGATGCGCGGACGCGCAGCGCGACATGGGCATCGCGGCCATGCAGGTCGCCGAGTACGCGCGCCTCCTCCTGCTCGCGTCCGCGCGGCGCAACCCGGCGGAGGTGCGCGCCGCCTTCGTGCCCGCGCCCTGCGGCGCGACGGCCATCGACGACGCGCTCTTCGCGTCGCGCGTCGAGGAGGAGCGCGCGCGCGCGCAGCTCGCGTTCGCGGAGGCGCAGATCCAGCTGCTCCACCTCGTGCCCTGGGCCAGCGGCCCGCTGCGGGCGCGCTACCTCGCGCAGCGCGTCGCCGCCAAGGCCCAGTGCGAGGCCGCGTACACGCGAGCGCAGGACGCGGCCTACGACGCGACGGCGTTCTCCATGGCCGCGGACGACGACCTCACGGAGCGGCGCAAGTCCCAGTTCGCGAGCGCCGTGCTCGCGAAGCAGCCCGACGGCGAGCCCCTCGTCGTGGCCTACAACACGGCCGTCGTCCGCGCGGTGCGGGCCATCGACCGCGAGCGGAAGGAGGAGAAGACGAAGCGCGAGCACGAAGCCGCGGTCAAGGCCCAGAAGTACGCCCAGGAGGCGGCGGACCTGCGCGAGATCCAGACGTCGCTGAGCCCCCGCGCGGCGCTCGAGGCCATCGCGCGGCGCATCGCGGCCATCCGCGACGAGGGCTTTCCCAACACGCTCGAGGGCATCGAGAACCTGCGCAAGCTCCGGCTCTACAAGGCCGTCGCCAAGGCGCGCCTCAAGCGCCGGGCCAACGAGGCCCTCTTCCAGGAGGGCGTCGAGAAGCGGCGCCTCGAGGAGCTCGAGGAGGAGCGGCGCGAGCGGGAGAGGTTGGCGCGCCAGGCCGCGGTCCGCGCGGAAAAGCGGCGCCGCGAGGCCGCGGAGCTCGCGGCCGCGCGCGCCGAGGCCGTCCGCAGGGCGGGCATGGCGGGCAAGCTCAAGACCTTCGGCAAGGGCGTGCTCACGAAGATGCTCACGCGCGGCAAGCTGCTCCGGCCCATCGACGAGGCGCGCGCGCCCGCGGCCAAGGACGACGACGACACGGCGTCGACGGGCACCTTCGAGATCTCCGGCCTCCACGGCGAGGACCACGACCGCGTCGTCCGCAAGGGCGCCGTCGCGCACCGCGGCAGCAACCGCTTCGGCACGCACTTCTCGAAGAAGCTCCACGTCGACGCGATCCAGATCCGGCGCACGGCGTCGAACAACGACCGCGAGCAGGACTACTGGCGCCGGAGCCTCGGCGGCCACACGCTCCCGAAGCACGCCATGGCCCACAAGAAGGCGAACTTCAAGATGGTCAACGCGTTCCACCAGAACCGCGCGGAGCGGTACCGGCCCTCCATGGCCCTCGCGCCCTTCCAGTCGTCCTAGGCTCTGTTGTGTTGTGCTTTGTTTCTTTTCACGGGGCTGGTGGGTTCGTGGCCCGAGAAACGCCCACCGCGCGGGGAGTCGGGGGCGCGAGGCGGCTCCTGTTGGATCCGGGCGGTTGGGTCATCTCCTCGGCAGAGCCGCGACGCACGCGCGCAAGGCGCCGAGCTCCTCGCCGCAGTCCCTGCGGCCTTCGAAGACGCCGACGGACATCACGTTGCCGTGGCAGACGCCGTGCCTCGCGACCGCGTCGCGGCAAAGCGTCTTCCCGCACTCGCACAGCAGCAGCTTGACGAGTTCGTTGTTCGCGCGCGTGCCCGTGGCATGGAGATCGATCTCAGCGACGCCGAGCGCCTTCGCGTACTTTTCGCACCTCTTCAGCGGCGTCGCGACGGGATGCCGCAGTTTCGCCATATGCTGCGGATCGAATCGCTGGCGTCACCGAGCCAGCCGCTACCGCACACGGCGTCAAGCGTCAAGGACGCACGCGAGATGCACCAGCGTGGTTGCACACGGCGTCAAGCGTCGCACGAGATGCACCAGCGTGGTTGCACACGGCGTCAAGCGTCAAGGACGCGCGCGAGATGCATTGGCGCGCCGCGCGCGATGGAGACGATGGCCATGCCTGGAGGCAATGTTGACATCAGCTTCATCGACTTCAAGAATAAGGGCTGCGTCTGAATCGCAAAGCAGGCCATTATGCGGCTGCCCTGCGCCTGGCTGCTTGCATTGGTGTCGTCGGCGTCGGCGCGGTCCGCGTCGCCGTCGCCGCCGTCGCCGCCTTCGACGCCGCCGTCGTCCTGGCGCCGCGTCGAGCTCCACATCCACCTCGACGGCTCTTTGGATCCGGAGACGCTGCTGGTCATCGCCCGGCGGCGGAACCTGAGCCTGCCCCTCGCCGGTGGTGGACCCCGCGTGCCGCGGAGCGCGGCGGAGATCGCGGACCTGCTGGCGGCGACGACGCCCGCGTGGCGCCGCTTCGACGTCGTCAACGACATCGTCGGCGGCGACGCGGCCGCCGTCCGTTTCGCCGCGGAGGCCTTCGCGGACCGGCAGCGCGCGAGCGAGGTGCGCTACACGGAGGTGCGCTACGACCCCGTGCGGCTCCGATCGTCGGCGTACGCGCCCGGCGACGCGCTGACGGGCGACGCGGCCGTCGCGGCCGTCGCCGCGGGGGTCCGCGCGCGGCCGGACGTCGTCGCGCACCAGATTTTGTGCGCGATGCGGGGCTCGACGGCGGCGGCGTGCGCGGACGTCGCGGCTCTCGCCGCGCGGTCCGCGGGCACGCGCGCGCGGCGGCGTCGTCGGCCTCGACCTCGCCGGCGACGAGCTCCGCTACGACAACGCGGCCTACGTGTCCTGCTTCGTCGACGCGGGCGCCCTCGGCCTCCGGCGCACGGCCCACGTCGGCGAGGGCTTCGGCAACCTCAGCAGCGAATCGTCGGACGTGTACTCGGCGCTGGCGACGATGGGCGTCGACCGCGTCGGCCACGGCTACGCCGCGGGCCAGAACGGGACGCTGAACGCGACGCTCGTCGGCCTGCTGCGGTCGCGCGGGGTCCACCTCGAGACGTGCCCGAACGCGGCCCTCAGGGAGGAGGCGCTCCAGCCGGGCGTGTTCCGGTCCATCGCCGCGTTCCGCGAGGCCGGCCTGGACGTCGGGCTCAACACCGACGACCCGGCGACGTACTTCGGGAACTGCTCCCTCGCGTCCGTCGAGGACATCGCCCGGGAGCAGCTCGGCTTCACCGACGCGGACATCACCGCGGCCTACGACCGCGCGTGCGCCGCGGCGTTCGGGGAGTGCCCGCCGCGCTCATAACAACCTGTCCGAATCGTCGCTTCGCTTGCGCAGTTTGGGGTTTAGGGACGGCGGGGCTCGTCCGGCGCGTCCAGCGTGCCGTCGGCGGCCGCGGCCGGCGCCTCGGCCGAGGTCGACCCCCGGCACGCAGCGCGAGCCCGAGGCTGTGGAGCTTTGTTTCCCAGGACGACGTCGTCTCTCGCCGCCAGTCGACGGCCTGCCAACCAGCACCGCCGACTCGTGCGGACCCCTCGCGCCCCCCCTCCGGCGCCATGTCGATCCGCAAGGAGGTCGAGAAGATGAGCAAGCGCCCCGAGAACATGCACTGCGCCGACTGCCGCGCGCCCAAGCCCAACTGGGCGTCGTGCTCCCTCGGGACCTTCATCTGCTTCAACTGCAGCGGGCTCCACCGGGGCCTGGGCACGCACCTGAGCTTCGTGCGGTCCGTGACTTTGGACGAGTGGACGCAGAAGCAGGCCAACGTCATGCAGCTCTGGGGCAACGCGAACGCGAACTCGTTCTTCGAGGCGCGCATGCCGCCCGACTTCAAGAAGCCGGACCAGCACGCGTCCGTCAACGTCATGAACAAGTTCATCCGCGACAAGTACGAGCGCTGCAAGTGGGCCGCCGACGACCCGGCGGGGGACCCGCGCCGCGGCGGCAAGCCCGCCGCCGGCGGCGGCGCCGCGGCCGCGGCGCCGCCGGCCGCGGCGCCCGCGCCCGCGCCGCGCGCGGCGAGCCGCCCGGCGCCGCGGGCCGCGCCGCGGCGCCCGGCGCCGGCGCCCAAGCCCGCGGCGCCGCCGCCGCCGGACCTCCTGTCCTTCGACGCGCCCGAGCCCGCCGCGCCGGCCGCGCCGCCCGCCGCGCCGTCGCCCGCGGACTTTTTCGGCGCGCCCGTGTCCGCGCCGCCGCCGCCGGCGGCGGCGCCGCCCCCGGCGCCGCCCCAGAGCGACCTCATCATGTCCATGTTCAACCAGCCCATGCAGCAGCCGCAGGCCTTCGGGGGCATGCCCGGCGGTTTCGGCGCGGCGACGCAGATGCCCGGCGGCTTCCCCCAGCAGCCGCAGCCGGCCTACCAGATGCCCGGCGACTTCCAGCAGCCCATGGCCGGCGGCGCCTTCCAGCAGCAGCCCATGGGCGGCGCCTTCCCGCCGCAGCAGCACGCGTACCAGGCCGCGGGCGCGTTCCCGCCGCGGCAGCAGCAGATGCCCGGCGGCTTCCCGCAGCAGACGCCCATGCCCGGGGGCTTCGGCCAGCAGTCGCCCATGCCCGGCGGCTTCGGCCAGCAGTCGCAGATGCCGGGCGGGTTCCCGCCGCAGCAGCAGCAGGCGCAGATGCCGGGCGGCTTCGGACAGCCGCAGCAGACTCAGATGCCCGGCGGCTTCGGGCAGCAGCAGCAGGCGCAGATGCCCGGCGGCTTCGGGCAGCAGCAGCAGCCCATGGGCGCCATGGGCGGCGCCATGGGCGGCGGCGCCATGGGCGGCCCCCTCGGCTACCCGCCGGCCCAGCAGCCGCCGCAGCAGCAGCAGTTCGCGGGCTTCCCGCCGCAGCAGGCCATGGGCTTCCCGCCCTTCCGCTGAGCCGACCTCGCCCGTCTTCGTCCGTCTCTTATTAGTACCGGGATTCGATGTGCGTCCCGCGGCTCCAGGGGCCGATGTCGCCGCGGTAGGGCGACGGTAGTGGCCGCGCGGCGAGCCGCGAAGCCCGCCGGTGGTGCGATGCCAGGCCCAGGAGCTCGCCCTCGGATGAGAGCGCGGAGGCCCGCGACCAGAACTAGACCTCGTTCACTCGACCAAAGCGCGCTTAATTGACGTCGATGTTGACGGAGAACATTTCTGGTACACTTGCTAGCACGATGGGGGACTTCGCCATGCGCGACTCCCTGAGCTCCATGCACTCCGTGTCGGGCCGGAGCCTCCGCGCCGGGAGCGCGACGTCCATGCTGTCCTGCGAGCCCACGTCCATCGTCACGCCCGACGTCGAGGACCTCAAGAACGACGTCCACCGCATCGTCGAGGTGCTCGCCGAGGTCGAGACGCGCGTCCGCGAGGGCGAGGTGGACGTCGACGCGCTCCAGAAGGACGCCGACGCCGCCCAGCGCGACCGCCTGGCCCTGGAGACGGCCGTGGGCTACCTGAACGACAAGGTCAACGGCCTCGAGAAGGCCGTCGGCGCGCTCTCCGCGCGCCTCGCGTCCGAGGCCACCGCGGCGCGCCTCAAGCAGGGCCCCGTCGACGACCCGGGCTACGGCGTCGCCTACACCTTCGTCGACGCCGAGGAGGACGACATGGCCTCGGCGCTGGTCCGCTGGACGCGCGACGTCGCGACGCGGATGTCCTTCTCCTGAGCGCCGAGCCCCCTCGGCCCCCCCTCCCCGCGCGCCTCTCGACGAGTTTAAGACGGCGCCGCCTGCCCGAGCGCGACGTCGCGGAGCTGGGCCGCGAGGGCGGCTTTCAGGTTCTTCGGCCGGTAGGGCCTCTCCGCCGCCAGGACGTCGGGCCCGAATATCGTCGCGGCAATCACGCAGGCCGCGAGGTACGTGCCCGCGAGCGACGGGTGTTCGCCGTCGGCGTCGAAGAGCTCGACGCCGAGTGCCGCGGCGGCGCGCCGCGCCGCGCCGACGGGCGCGACGGCGACGTCGTGCGTCGCGCCGACGGCCGCGTGCAGCTCCGCGATCGCGTCGTCGTCGTAGCGCGGCAGCCGCGCGTAGGCGTGGGCGCAGAAGAGGATCGGGGTCGCGTCCGCGCCGCGGACGGCGTCGATCCACCTCGCGGCGTGCGCCGCGAAGCTCTCGGCGGTCGTCTCCGGCAGGTCGTCCTGCAGCACGACGTAGTCGAAGCCGCCGCCGGCGAGCCCGTCGGCGCGGCCGGCGCGCCAGTGGCTCTCGAGCGTCGCGCCGCCCTCGACGATCGTCTGCGTCGTCGCGCCGGGCGCGAGGCCGCGCACCATCGTGTCGACGCCGCGGTTCCAGTAGGTGAGGCTGTTGCCGACGAAGCAGAGGCTCTTGGCCCGCATGCGCGCCTCCAAGGCCTCGAAGGCGCTGTCCGGGATGCCCGCCGGCGGGAACGCGCTCATGCGCGGCGCGGCGGCGGCGCTAGGAGTATTTGCCACAGGAAGCGCTCTCCTCGGCCGGCGGGAAGGCGCTCATGCGCTCTAAAGCCTGTGGCAAAACGCTCTCCATCGCATGCGCAAAAACTTCCAAGGAGAGCATGGAGCCTCCGCTCGCGGCCGACGCCGCCGCCGAGAGTCCCGCGCCCGATGCGCCGATGGACGTGGACGCGTTGAAGCGGCGCGTCGCATCGCTGCGCGACGAGGTCCGCGGCTGCGCCGCGCACGAGGTGGGCAAGGCCCACGCCGCGCTCCAGGCCGGCGGCGACCTCGTGCGCGGCGCGCTCGGCGCGTCGCCGTCGGCGGCCGTCGTCGACGGCGTCTGGGAGCGCTGGGTGCGGTTCCTGCTCCGCGAGGGCGCGCCGGCCTGGGAGCGGAGCCTGGGCGAGGACGCGCGCGCGGCGTGCGTCGACGACCTCCTCGCGCTCGACGGCGCCGTCAAACCGTGGCGCGTCGCCGCGGCCGTCGCCGAGGCGCTCGTCGACGGCGCGGACCCCTACGCCGCGCGCGTCGCCGGCCGCGTCGCCCGGCGCTGGTGCGCGCGCGACGCGGCGGAGCGCCTCGTCGCGTCGCTCCGCGCGGACGCGGCCGACGCGGCGGCCGTCGAGCGCGCCGTCGACGCGTTGACGCGGCTGCCGGCGCGGCTCGGCGCCCTGGGCCGCCGGAGCCCGCTGGAGCCCGACGCCTGGTTCGCGCACCTCGCCGCCGCCGCCGTGGGCGAGGGCGGGGCCGCGTGGCCCGCGCTCGCGACGCGCCTCGACCAGGGCAGGACAAGAGAGCGAAATTCCCAACTTCAAAGCCTCATATCTCGGCCGTTTCCCACTCGTTTCGGCTGATTTTTGGACGAGCGATCATCTCTCGGAACGCTCTCGAAGCGTGGATGCTTTTTCCGGAACGCGCGCGCGCGGAACACTCACGTTGAAGAGACGTTGAATCTCTCTTTTCCTGCCCAGGCCTCGACCGCCTCGGGCGGACGGCGGACGCGGCGCGCGCCTGGGTCGCGGCGCGCGGGAGCGACGACGGGTCGCGGCTCGAGGCCCTCGGCGCGGGCGTCGCGGGCCGCTACGTGCCGGCGCTCCTGGGCGCCTGCTGCGTCTTGCCGGGCCCCGAGGCGGCCGACGCCGCGCGGAAAATCGTCGGCCCGCGCCTCGCGACGTGCTCCGTGGCGCGGGCGCTCTTCGCCGGGTCCCTGGCGCTCGGCCGCGTGCCGCCGAACACGCCGCGGCGCGCCGCGGCGCTCGTCGCGCTGCTCGCGCGGAAGAGCGACGTCGAGTTGTTCGGCGAGACGCTGTCGGCGGCGTGCCGCGCGCTCGCGGATCGCGCGTTCGTGCTGGAGGCCGACGAGGGCCGGCGCGCCTTCGTGGCGACGGTAGCGCTCTGCGGCATCATCGTGAGCTCGTCCGAGGAGCTCGACGGCCTCGGCATCCTCCAGCACGTCGTGAGTTCGGTGTCGTGCCACCTCGACTCGTCGCGGCCCGAGGACCGCGTCCGGGGCATGCTCGTCGGCGAGGCCTTTGGCAAGGTCGCGGCCCAGACCCTCCACTTCGACGACCTGAGCGACGACGACCGCGCCTGGGGCGACGCGTTCCTCGCGGACGGGACCCTGGACGCGGCGCCGCCGAACGCGGCGTTCGCGGCCGCGCGCCCCGCGATCGCCCCCGCGGCGGACCCGCCGCCGGCGGAGGAGACGCGCACCTACACCGTGAGCCGCGGCACGCCGCGGCCCGAGAAGCAGGCGCGGTCGCCCGACGACCCCGTCGCGTCGGGCTCCGAGTCGGACGAGTCCGACGGCGACAAGGCGGAGTGGCGCGACGGCGACGACGTCGACGACGGCCTCAGCGACGACTCGTCGCTGGAGGCTTACGATCTTGAAGATCTCGGGGAAGACCTCGCGCCCGTGGCCGCGCCCGTCTACCTGCGGGACCTGCTCGCGCTGCTCAACAAGTCGCACAAGAACAACGACTTCGCGCGCGACGAGCAGCTCGTCGCGCTGGACTGCGCCGAGGCGCTCGTGCGCGCACAGCCGGACGACCTGGGCGACGTCGCCCGGGACCTGGCCCACGCCCTGCTCACCCTCGACAACCGCTTCGACCTGCCGGGCTTCGCCGAGCGGACGTCGAAGACCGTCGCCGCGCTCGCCGCGGCGCGGCCGCTCGAGGTCGTCGGCGACTACCTGTGCCTCCAGTTCTTCGACCGCAACCTGACGATCTCGAAGAAGCTCGACATCCTATGCGCCATGGTCGACGCGGCCTACGAGCTCGCGGGCCGAAAGTCGCTCGCGGCCGCGGGCGGCTCCGCGGAGCTCCCCGGCGACGTCGGCGGCCTCCTGCGGCTGGAGAACGCCCACGGCGACGCGAACCGGTCGACGCGCCGCGACCGGGGCGAAGGCGCCCTGGCGTTGCGGACGCGGCGCTGGGGCTACCGGCGGAACCCGGCGCGCGCGCCCGCGCCGAACCGCTTCGCGGCGCTCGCGGCGGGCACCTTCTTCTTCCCGCTGCTCCGGGGCGTCGCGGAG